GTACAGCAGGGCTTTTCACAGTCAGGTAGTCGACTTACCTCATATTCCACCGAGTCTGGTGAGGCTGCAGGGGAAAGACAGAAAATTATGGATATGTGTGTTTTACAGGGTTAATTACCTGGCTTTCAAATAAGACAACATTGAAGAAAAATAAAATGACAGTTATTTGGCGTACCACCAGACTTGTAAGGACTCTCTCCGCAAGGATTGGATATGTAAGACCACTACAAAATAGGGTCCAATGGCTCCTGAACGAGGTGAAAGATGCTACTATTGGCCTTATCAGTTTGGTTGATGAAAGTTACAATTAAGGGAGTTTGCGGAAGGCACTGTAAGAGCTTGCATTTCTACCAAATGTTTGCTTTATTACTCAAACAAGATGCCGGAACAGACCGCACAATTTAAAAGGTGCGTAATAGGGACCATTTTGGTCGCCGTAAAAATCACCCGAGGCTATTGGTTAAAGAAGCCGGATTGGGTAAGACAATATGAGGTGGGCAAACTTGACCCTATTTCTAGCTTTAATCCCAACTCATACCCTAACCTTTTCCCTAACCCTGATCCTTAACTTATCTCAACCTTGAATTTAACCCAAACCTTAGCCAAAATCTATTCCTTTTGTCAAGCTTAGACAGAATGTAACTCCAATAAGACATGCAGGACAAAATCAAACATGTGAAAATGCTATAGCAATAAGAAAATAGGCTTATATATTCAATTATTACCCCTACTTCCCTGTACAGTTTCGCATTAGTTTGTGCGTTTCAAATCCAACTCCGCTATATACTCTAAGAGCATATAAATTCAGAATTTGCATGTGGGAAGTAACAAGCCCATTGTCTATTGCAAAGTGCGAGTTTATTGTAAAATCACGTATCATGCCTTTGTCTCATACTTGATGCCATGTCAAAAGCCATTTAACCAGACAAACCATGCGTCCAGCAAAATTTCCGTTTTTTGTGTTCACTGAGTGTGCAACGCATTCAGTTGACAGGTGAAGGCTCAGAATACTGAGTTATTTTTGAAGTAGAGTAAGCTCATTTTCTTGTCAAATGCCATCACAGAGCCCCGATTTGTTTTTTGTTTAACAGGAAGAAACCGACACAACTTACCTGGACTGCTTGAACGAAACAGGTCGAAGAAGGACTGAGAAGTATTGGAATATCCGTTTTTTGGTAATTTTGGCGATCGCCACTCAATTTCTGACCTAAACAAAAAAATAAAAGGTATGTTCAGGGAATCGTACGAATGTAATGGAAACGAAAGCAAAACCTAGTCGGTAGTATCGGAACATCTCTTTGAAAGCGAATAACTTTCAAGTACGTTGTGTTCGCGAAATAATTTGAAATTGTAACAAGCATTCTGTTCGGCCCGCTAGTAGATAAACATTTTTAAGAGAACTGTAGCAAAGACCAGCTGCCTTCACGGAAACCGATTCACTCAAGTAAAATCGGTCAGCTAAATGCGATGCTGAACGCCAGTAAATTGTGTAAACTTTCAAGCGCTTAGACGCCCTAGACCCTGCGGATACGAGTTCGCCGTTGAATATTGGAAAGGAAAAACAGCGGATAGATAAAGCTTTGTATAGAAGCATAAAACCGGAGGCAGTCGGTTGGATTCACTTACGTCTTCGAAGATAGTAATTTCAATGGACCGCTTTCGTTGAGGTCCTCAGCAGTATTAAAGAAGGCCTGTGAGAACTGCTTAACCAGAATGTTGCTTTTGAGATAAGGGTTGTCTCGAAAGATGAAGAGCAATCTAAATCCCTGAAGAGACAAACAACGTTCTACTTTACACATCAAATTTCAAATTATCAACAAAGCGAAGTTTATTGAAGTTTGACTTAAAACAATGGGGAGTATTTTTCAACGGATCTCTCCACATAGTTGGATGCAAAGTACACCTTCTGTCATAGAAGGTCCTCATCCTACTTGTGCAGAGAAGACACGGGCAGTGTCTGCTTGGATACCGACTAGTCTAGGGCACTGTTGACTGGACTTAATACATAACATTATTTTGTGGTTC